TCTCATGGGCAGAAAGAAAAAAAAAAAAAGAGTGAAGAGATGTAAGCTTTGGCATGAGGGTCAAGATAATTATAACGACAAAGTTCTAGAAGAGACAGGAAGGGAATGGGACTGATAACAAACATAGAGTTTGGCCTTAGAACAAAGGGAAGACTCAGACCTCTCCAACTGAGTCTATGTCTTGTCATTTCCACCAAAACATAACCATGCCTAACATTTATTTGTACAGCATGTGACTAACATCCAAGTGTATTTGGAGCTGCTTTCAAGTTAGATTCTGTACCATCATCATCATCACATTGTCACCACCACATGTAGCTACCATTCATTAACTATTAAATACGCTGTCTCATGAGAGGGGTACAATTATCATTAGTCATCTTATGGATGAGAAAAGTGAGGGAGAAACGTTCTATCAGCTTGACCAAGATAACCTGGGTGTTGAGTAGAGAGCTGTATTGGCTGTCAAACAATCCAATTCCAGAGGCCCTGCCCTTGTGTGCTGCTTCTCAACACTTCAGAGAGTTGCAAATGGTCACCTTTGGGAAATAGGACTAGAGAGTACAGAGCAGGGAGCAGAGGTCTGCTGCTTTTTGAAGTAAATCTTTAGGACTATTTGGCTTTTTGCTAGAGTAAGAGCTCTTTCTATGACTTTCCCTATGCTCCTTTACATTATCTTTCATTAGCAATGAAAAGATAATTTCAACTTCATATATCTTTTTATCTGGGGGTCAAATCCACTGAGCTTGGAACACTCTCTGCTCCCTACTAGAAGGCTCTTTAAAAAAACACACACATTTCACATTTAAGTATAAATTGTTTGACCACCTGACCAACCTCGTGTCCAGATCCTTATCAAGGCAGCAGGTTTTCTTATAAAAAAATGTTGTTCTAAAAAATTTTTTTATATAAGGGAGTTTTCATTCTTTTGTTTTTTCTTTCAACTTTTTCATGGTTACAGTACACAATGATTACATTTCTCACGGGGAGTTAGTATATGTGCATAACATCTTTTTGTTGTTGTTGTTTTGTCTTTTGAGAAGGGTCTCACTAAATAGTTGAAACTGACCTGAACCTCACTAGGTAGCCCAGGCTGGGCTTGAACTCACAGCAATCCTCCTGCCTCAGCCTCCTGAGTGCTGGGATTACAGGCGTGCATCACCATGCCCCCCTAAAATTTTTTTTTTTTTTGGTACTGGGGATCGAACTTGGGACATTGTGCTTGCAAGGCAGGTGGTGGAACCACTGAGCTAAATCCCTGGCCCCTATGTGCATAACATCTTAATTCTTTTTGCATTTTCTCTCCTTTACCTTACCTCTCCATCTCTTTGTATTCTTTTATAATAGAAACTCTCGCTAATAAAAAGCAAAAAGAACTAATATCAGTGCTCAGGTGATGACCCAGCCTTCTCAATGACAAAGGTGAGGTCACTGGCCTAGAAGGGACAGGGTGAAAATGAGGCCTTAACTTTCTCTAACCCATCCCCCACTCAGTAGTCTTGGATTCTCTGACCTGGATGGTCACTCTCCTGCTGAGACCTTTCCCAGCTGTGCTCACCCCATTTACATCTCTCCAAAGTAAAGGCCAATCACTATCCTGTCTATGCCCAGCCCAGCCACAGTGACCTTGACTTGTGCTTGCTTTCTTGCCTCTGTGATTCTGTACCGTGTCTCCTCGACTGAATTGTGCTTTTCCTTTTCATCTTCTAGCCACTTCCTAATCCTCACCATTCAGCTTGGTCAGTTTCAGACACTGCTGCTTTCCAAGAAGGCTTCCAGACTCCCATGCCTAGGCATCCCCTGGGGTCCCCAGAGCACTCTGTATGTTCCCCACTATAGAACTTGCTGATCTCTGAAGAACCACATTTCCCAGTATTCACCTCCCATACAGATTTGGGGCTGGCCTTGTAAATTGCTTTAACCAACAGGGTGCAGGAGGGGTGGTGCTGTGCGGGTTGCTGGCTTAAGCCTTAAGAATCTTGTCAGCTTCCACTTTTGTATCCTGGAAGCTCTGAGCCATCATGCAAAAAAGCGCAGCTACCCAGCTGGAAAAGCCACGTGGAGCAGAGAGGCGGAGAAGTCACGTGGAGGAGAGGCCCAAACTTTGCTGGGGGGCCCCACTTGCTGCCATCTGACTGCAACCTCACGGGAGATCCTGGAGTGAGGCCAGCAAAATTGCCCAGCTGAGCCCAGTCAATTCGCAGAACTGTGAGAGATCAGATGATTGTCTTAGGCCACTCAGTGTTGAAGTGGTTGTTATGCTGCAATATGTAACTACAACACCATTCTGTATTTTAATTGCCTATTGACTGTTTGCCCTGCTATACTTTTTTGTTGTTTTGTTTTCATTTTTTGAGACACGGTCTCACTATGTAGCCCAGGCTGGCTTCCAACTCATGGCAATCCTCCTGGCTTAGCCTCCCAAGTGCTCAGATTAAAGGCATGGGCCACCATTCCCAGCTCCACCAAACTTATTTTCTCTGTGAGGTCAGAGACCACATCCAGTTTTTAAAATTGTGAGATACTCTGGACATTCTCAAACACTGAAATAAAGTGTTCATGTTTGATTAATGCAAATTAAGAATGCCTACAAAAACCAAGGAAACAACTGTCTAGAATACTCTCTGTGGTGGGCACACAATGCATGTGTACGCATTTTAAAAGGTGATTAACTGGGCCCCTGTGCAATAGGCAGCTAACCTTTGTAGAGGGATTGAATCAACTTGACTTTAGGCCACAACCCACCAACATAGAGCAGGAGGAAAGATTGTCTGGTGGTTTAGGCAAAGCCAAAGGTCAAGTAAACAAGGTCGTTATTCCTGTGGGCAGCACTGAACAGGTGATCTGATTAACAATGAGGCTTCCTTCATCATCTACCCCTCAAGAGGTCTGTTGAGCCACTTATGCATAGGGACAGCGGTTTATCCTCTCCTTCAAATTCTTTTTTTGGGAGGATGGTACTAGGGATTGAACTCAGTCCAGTCCTTTTTGTTTTTTGAGACAGGGTCTCAATAATTTGCCCAAGTGGGACTTAAACTTGCAGTCTTCCCAAAGTGCTAGAATTATAGGCAAGTGCCAGAGCATTTTTTTTTAAGTAGTGGGGATTGAACTTGGGGCCTCACACTTGCCAGGTAGGTGCTGTGCCACACTGAGCTACATTCCCAGGTCTTATAGCATCTTTAAAACCCTTCAACTTCATACAGGCAGAGTCCTCAACGAATGTGTGTATGAGAAACAGTATATTCCAGTGTTCTTGGCTGCAGTCACCATCAGCATAAGGTGTTAGGTCAAGTCAACCTGCATTACTTGAACATATTCTATGGCCTGACAGAGGGACACAAAGCGGGAACATGCTATCCCTGCCCTGAGGGACAGAACTAGGGATATTAACACAAATGAGACAATTAAACAATGGGGCAACATACAATTACTGCTAAACAGTGGAGTAAGAGATTAAGTGCTACAGGAATTAGGAAAAGTAGAGCAGTAAAAGCTCAAACACTTAAGTCTTCACTGCAGAATTGAGATTTGGCTAAGCCCTGAAGTAGGAAGCCAAATAGGATGAAAGGGAGAAGGGTATGGAAGTCGCAGGAGGAACACAGCCAAACCCAACATATTTATCATTTTATTTGGAGCCAGTAACACAAATAGGTGAAGGTGGGTGTCCCAAATCCCAAAACAAGGATATTTTTGAGCAGTTTGCTAATAGGCAAAGTCCTGGGCTCTTATTTACTGTTTTTGCTACGTGTGATGCCTTTCTCCCTTCCCCACCTGGAAAACTCTCTCTCATATTTAAAGCCCCAGCTCAAATTTAATCCTTATCTGAATCCTTCCACAACCCATTGCTTCTGCTTCTATAAGAGCATTATCTCTTACATTCGTCTACTCCTTCCACTACTGTAATTGATATCAATGATTTATTGGGCATGTACTGTACTATGTGTCAGAAACTAAACATTTAAAATGTATTCCTTTATTTAAGCCTCACTATTGCATGAACACCCTGCAATTTTCCCTATTTTATAGGCCTAGTGTGGTTAAGGAACCTGCACAAGATAACATACCTAGAAAATTATAAAGCTGGGATTCAAACCCAGATTTGTGAGGCTCCAGAGTCCACTCAATCCACTGGACCATGTATTCCTGGAAGCCACAAATGCGCTTTATTCATCTGTCTTCTCAGATGGTGGCTGACTTGGCTCAAAACTTGTTTAACATATTAATAAAACTTTCATAGCACATTCCTGTGCCTAAAAGTAGGTGAACTCTTTACTCCTTCACCCCATTTAGGGACTTTCGCCTACCTAAAAGTCACATCTGGGGAAAGAGGTAGGGGAGGAAGTCTGAACAGCCCACGTTCGAATTTGAGTGTTTTTATTCATGGATTCAAGTGTGGTGAAAGGGGAACTACTCTGTTCCACAAAAGAACACACACATAACACTGGCTGGGTCATATATGTTACATATATATGTTATAACATATAACAGGGTGTGTGTCTCCCTGGTATTTTGAAAAGAGCACCTCAGGAGTCTCAACCTGTTAGACTTTCCGAAGTAATCCCAACACCACACAAACGGAGCCTGGATGAGACGGGGTCGGCCTGAGGCTACAGAATGAGCCAACGCCCGGCCAGAGCTAGAACCCAGGAATGCAACCTTGCCCGGTGCAGTTTTCATCGTCTGCACAGTCAGGCCTGGCATGGCACCTCAAAACTGACAGCGCTGGGCGGGTCGGATAACCGGCTTCCTCCAGGAGGCTAAGGCCCCGGGGCCTAGAGAGCCTTCTCCCCTCCGCAAGTCCACGGTGTCTGCAACTCCTCTCGAGCCCCGCTTGCCCTGGGCAGTTAGGCTTCGCCACTTGCTGGTCCCCTCCGCTCGCTCTCCGGCCTCGGAGGAAGCGTCCGAGACCAAGTCTTCCCCGCCCACACCGCAGGACTTGGCCGCAGTCCACCTCCCCGCGAGCCCCAACTCCGCTCCCCCCTCTTCCGGCTGGGACGCGCGTCCTTCCGGCGGGGCTTCTTCCTCATTGGCTGGCCGAGGACTTGCGTGAGGGCTCGGCCGCGCAGCACTCCCGCGGCCGATCCAGCCGCCGGCCCAAGCCCTGGCCTCGTCTTTTTGGCTCGGGCTCTCTATGGTGCTGGCGACATGTGGCGCCTGTCGGGACTCCTGGGCCGAGGTAGGGAGCAACTGAGCCTCGAACTTCTGAAGGCTGCTGAGACACTGGGTCCGGCGGGGTAGAGGGCAGGGCGCGAGGAAACAGCCAGAGCGACCGTGGGCGGGGTTAGAGCGGGTGGGTGGGGTGTCAGGGGCGGGGCTACCCAGTCAAGGAGTCAGGCCGCTGGAATTGGAGACGTGGTAGAAGTTAGAAAGTGTGGAGTTTAGCCGGGCTTGGTTCACTGGTTCCGCCACCTGCCGCGCAAGGACCTGAGTTCTATCCCCGGTACCAAAAAAAAAAAAATGTGTAGATCCAGGGAGGTGGGCGCAGCTCTGGGAAGGGGAGGAGTCATCGAAGGGAGGCAAAGGAGTAGGCGGAGCCAGCGCATAGGGGAGGGATTTAGTGACAAGCTCTGAACTTGTTTGTGGGTATGTGGTCTTGCAAAGTTGTCTTTGATTGGAGGGCATCAGAATCAAATGGAACTCTCAAATGTAGATGCTTCGCTCAGATACTGCTTTATTGCTTGTGCTGTGATTCCCTTAGAACCTCTGCTAGGCTAAAGATTTCCATGTGTATCCTTGTTGAAGAACCACTGCACCTGTAATCCCAGTCCTCAGGAGGCTTGCTGAGAGTTGGAGGCCAGCCTGGGCTACATAATGAGTTCAGGACCAGCCTGAACTACATAGCAAGACACTCTGTCTCAAACAACAACAAAAACACAGCACAGACTGAGGCTGTTTCTGAGTGATAGAGCACTTGGCTAGCGTGCACAAAGGGTTCAATTTCCCAGCACCACAAAAACAAACATCGCAGAGTTGGATGCCAGTGATTCCTGGGTTCCTAGAATAAAATGCCATCTCAGGTTAGAGGCAATATTATTGGTCTAGCTTTGTCTCAGTCCTCTTCCTTTTAAAGTGATCTTTGTTTTCTATGCAGCTCTTCCCCGGCTGCTGGGACCTGACTTCCGGGTGGTGACCCCCAAGCCCACCAGCCCAGATGGGCCTCAGACAACCTCCTCCTCCTTGCTGGTCTCTGTGCCCGGCACTGACAGGTGAGACATTTTCATTTTGTCAGCCATCTTCTTTTTGTTGATATTTTGGACAGAACCCTATAGCCTCTAATTGCATTATCTAGGTCAGGTCCTCATGGCCCAAGTACAAGCAGGGGCCCAAAGTCCCACGGGTGGAAGGATGCCTTCCAGTGGATGTCTGCTCGTGTCTCCCCACACACCTTATGGGATGCCGTCTCATGGGTAAGGCTCCCCCAGCCCTGTCCTTCGCCTTTAGCATGGATGAAAATGGTCATGTGTGGAGAATCGATCCAATCTAAAAACAAGAGCAAGGTGAACATTGTGTCCACACAGTGAGAACTGGAGCATACATCACTTCCCCACCCTTGTTGCGTATTTATTCTTTATTTCAGTCAATAAATATTTACACCTCCCAGCCAGGCATTTTTGCTAGGCCTTAAGGGAGATAGCAGAGAACAAATACATGTAATTCCTGCCTTCATGGAGCTTACAGTGACTATTAAGTAGCTAGTAAGTAGCATTACTTGTTTTTGTTTTTGGTATTGGAGGTCGAACTCATGACCTTGCACTTGCGAGGCAGGCAAGGTGCAACTGAGCTAAATCTCCAGCCCTAGCATTACTTGTTAATGTAAACTGTGGTAATGCATTGTTGTAGTTAATCCTTACAAAAATCTTACAAGGGAAATGTAACTCATTTTGAATATGAGGAAACTCAGGCTCTGACATATCAGATAACATGCTTAAAGGTCACAGCCATAGAGTAAGAAGCCAGATTTAACTCTGGAATCAGGCTGTATCACTTGGTTGCATTGCCTGGTCTGACTTGTAAAAGCACATAGTGCAGAGCTTAGCCCATCATAGTTGTTCAGTATATATTTGTTGAATCTGACTTACAAAGTCACATTCCTAGTGAACACTAGGTCTAATAAGACACAGTTTGTAACTTTTAGGCAAGGATCCAGATCATATATATTGTGAATGAAGTTGGCACATACAGTGGACTTGAGTAGCAAACTCAATTCATTCCCAAGGGCACTTGTAACTCACATTGGTCAGTGAAGGCTCAGGCTTCTCCACACAGCCTTCAAAGTCTCTCTCCTATACACAGGCGGATCTCAGGTCCTTAGAGAGACATTGGCCCAGGATTTCTCAGTTAACCCCACACAGGAAAGGATGTTATAATGTTCTTTGCAGAACTCTTTAAGGGTTAAATCTGTAGCTAAGACCATCTGGAAGCACAAGCAGCCAGCATTTGAGTCGTAACTCAAGACTTTGGTCATAAGTTGAAACTAAAATTCCAGTCATAATCCCAGTCGTTTGTATGTCAGGCTGGTCATAACTCAAGGGTATACTACATGTCACTCTTATGTCTGTCACATCCCATTCTTGCTGCTTTCATGCTGTGTACTTTAGGCAGATGACTTCATCTTTCTGAGTCTCACTTTGGGGAGAAGTGTAACAGGGATTGAACCCCAGGCCACCTTCCTGAGCTGCATCCCCAGTCCTTTTTTATTTATTTATTTTTTATTGTGAGACAAGGTCTCGCTGAGCTGCTAGGTTTCCCAGGTTGGGCTCAACTTTTGATCCTCGCGCCTTAACCTCCTAGGGTGCTTGGATTAAATGCATGGCCTGCTGAGCCTCATTTGCTTTTATCTTGAAATTGGTGTCATCAGCAGAAGTGAGTCTGGCGTGTCTCCATGACAGGGACTCTGCTTTTTGGGTTTCTGTGGACATATCCTGGAGAGGGAAACGTTTTTCCATTTTCCCAAGATCTGAGCCCTGGGGCAGAGTCCCATACTCATTTTTCTGGGGAGGTGGACTTGTATTCCGAGGTCCAGATGCTACCCTGGGCTTTGTCCCCACTGCCCATATGGAAGGGGCTGTATACAAGCTGTCCGCAGTGCCATGGATACTTGTCCCTTCCCGCGCAGGGCTGGCACCTTCTCTTGTTCTGTCCTTAGCTCATGCACAAGAGGCTCTTCCTCATTCCTCATCATGTCAGATCTCCCACTTACGCTCTTTGTAACCTGCTGATTTGTTTCCTCTTTGCATCTAGCGCAGTTACTAATTATGGCATTTATTGTTCTGTGTACTTGGGTTTTGTCCTTCTCAACACAAGACACAAATGTCATGAGGACCGAGACTATCTTATTTGCCATTGTAAATAGTGCCTGTTGGAGCAAATAAGTATGTATGTATGTATGTATGTATGTATGTATTTGTTTTTTGGTTTTTTGAGACAGGGTCTCACTATGTAGTTCAGACTGCTCTGGAACTCACTGTGTAGCCCAGGCTGGTCTCGAAATCGCAATGATCCTCCTGCCTCTGCCTCACGAGTGCTGGGATTACAGGCTATTATTTTGGTTTTGGTTTTGGTGTCTGGGATTGAACTCAGGACCTTGTGCTTGCAAGGCAGGCAGCAGAACCACTGAGCCAAATGCCCAGCCTGCAGATAAGTATGTAGATATTCCTTCCTAAGCACAGCACAAGAGACGGGAAAACAGGCAGTCACTGGGATAGGAGTTGGCTCAGGTCTTCTGCACTCTGCATACCTGTTGGAAGAAAGACATCTTCAACAAGGCCACACCTGGAAATGTGTGTGCTGGGTGGCTTGCACCAGGCTAGTCAGAAAAATATGCATGGTCCGTACCTTTGTTGTGCTCACAGACAGGAGAAACAAACCAAAAATGAATAGTTACGGTGAAGATTATTAAGTATCAGAGGAGAAATTTGGGTGCTGTGAGCATGTTGTAGGGAGCTACTCCATCTGGAGACAGAAAAGGCTTCCCAAGGAAAAGATCGTGTTGAGGGCCAAGTCTGAAGCAGCTGAAGGATGAGGGGAGGGCACCGTGTCCCCGATATGCTATCTTTTCCAGGGTACGCTGGCCGTGCTGGCCCTGCAGGTGGCAAGACAGATCCACTTCCAGGCGTTGCTGCCCACGGGGCCTCGGCAAGCAGAACGCTGCTCTTGGCGCAGTCCCCTGGACCGTTTCCTTTCGTCTCCCTGGTGGCACCCACATTCCTGTGAGTTCTCAGTCCTGGGGCAGGAGGGCTGGGTGGGAGCTGCTCTAGGTCAGGAAGCATCTCCGGACACACCCCAGGAAAAGAGCCATCAGCAGCTCCTTGCCTTTCCTATCTGAAGTCAGAGGAAGGGGAACATGGCGCAGTTCTCCCCCACCCAGGGTGTGGGCCACACCTACCCTTAGTGTTCCTGTGTCCTCCTGTCACCTCCTGTGGAGAGAGCACTAGCTAGCATGGGTCCTTGCACTAGTGACAGTGGAAATTAAAATTAAGCAACAGCATGAATTTACAAGTGAAAACCTTACTTGGGAAGGAAGAGAAAACAGGGAAAGGACTCCCAGCTCCATTAGTAGCTGGAAGGGGCACACTCTGATGAAAAGGTTCAGACTGGCTGGCTTTTAGTGGTTAGCTGAGGTCCTGTTGCTCATCATCTCAGGCTGGTTTCAGAACTTTGGAGGAATCCTCATGGCTTGAGAGGCAGTTCTGAAATCAGTGCTTCTGTTTACAGTACTTTTCCTGGGGTCCGGGTGACTACCAGTTCAGGACAGGGACTGGAGACTTTTTAGGAGTTGGTCCAAGCGGGAAGGATCTGACACTGGATGTCATACAGGATGGTAGTCAGATGTCCCTATGAATCCTGAAAATTATTTTCTACTCTTATCTTGGTGTCCTCCATCTTGGAGGGAGGTGAGATGGTTAGATAAGTTTAGGGTCAATAAACTTTGTCCTGTTGACTTTTTAAAAATGAGTAAGGTGTATTCAAAGTTTTAAGGTAGTAAGGATACAAAACTGAAAGTCAGGCTTTGTTCTACTCTTGGTTACCTATTGGCAGGCCCAAAGAAGAGTCATGGTCCGCATCCCCCCCCTACCCCCTGCCCATCTTGCGCTTGCCAGGCAGGACATTGAGCCACATTCCTGGCCGTGAGCCATGGGTTTTAGCAAAACGTGCTTGTAAGTCCCTGGCTGCCTCAGAAGAAAACACCATTGTGCATTTAATGAGTAACAGGCTAAGGGCGCAGGAGTTGGTCCTTTGTCCCTGTAGTGGTCTCTGACTACATCAGGTGCAGGCCACTTTAGATGCAAGGTGTGGCTTTCTGCCCAGCTCTTAAGCAGTCTGGCCATTTTCTGCTCAGTCAGTCATTCATCACTGAGTCTGTATTGCGGACATATTATGTGCCATGGTACAGAAGCCATATAGACTTATAGTTGAGGTTCTAGAGTCAGACTGGATTGTGATAGTTCAAGTCCCAGAAGTTCTTCGTGCTAGTCTTATACCACTGAACGACTTTCCTGTGCATCAGTTTTTTCATCTATAAAATGGGATAATACTAAAACTGTAGAGGTTTCTTGGGGGTGCTAAATGAGTTCGCATATGCCAAGGCCTTAGAACAGTGCCCAGTGCATACTAAGTGCTCGATAATTACTAGTTTAAGTATTAGTTCTTGTCCTTAACATTATGATTATAATCTTAACAATACTACCATTAAGTAAAGTGCCAGCAGCTGAAGCTAAACAGTGACTTCAGGCAAAGGAGTGATTTATGCTTAGGATGGGAGATCAGCATAAATGTTGGCCCCAGATCGAAGCTAGCAGAGGAAGTGGAGGAGGAAGTGTGGGAAGGAGGCCTCCCAGGAATTTCGGAGTTCTTCCTCTGATCTCCAAACCCTCGGGGGGATCTGAGGTCCAGCGCACCAGGCTGAACTGACTCCCTTCTGACCTGTTTCCGGTTTCCTGCTCTTCTCAGCACTGCGGGAGTTTGTTCTCCCAGGCCCTGAAGGCCCAGCCCCCAGGCACAACCTCAGGCAACCCAGGCTGGGCCAGGAAGTTCCCTCAGCTCAGCCCAGGAGCTTCTCACACAGCTCCTTGAGAACAGCTAGTCCACAGGAGCCCCCTGACGAAGGTGCGTCCTTACCCGGAATCTGCAGAAGGTAGGGGTGGGGGCAAAGCGGAGTAGGCGAGCTGGGCAGATGGACAGTATCCTGTACATTCCCAGATAAGAGTATTGTCATTCCTGTGAGGTCCCATGCTTTCTGGGTGATTCAGAGTTAGTCCGACTCCTGGGAGGGGTGCTGGATGGCAAAGCACTCCTTCTCCACGACTGGGAGAGGAGGGAAAAATGAAATAATACACTTCTCCCTTGCTCTGGCTGGATGAAGGCTTTTCCTTTGCAGGTGCCAGTAATTTTGAATTTCTGGATGCCAGCAGTAGCTTTGAGTCCAGAGCAAAGCCGGTCCAGCCTCAGCACCCTGGTGAAAAGAAGGTATTTGCCAGATTTTGGCACTGTGTTATCCCCTGGATTGGGTAACAGTCCCAGTGAACCATCCCTTGATGTGTCTTGTATTTCTTCCCCAGGAGCAAGATAAGTCAGAAACTCTTTCCCTTGAGGAGGCCGTGACTTCCATTCAGCAGCTCTTCCAGCTCAGTGTTTCCATTGCTTTCAACTTCCTAGGTACCTGGGGGACCCTGCCTGAAGGCAAGGGGATGAGAAAGGAGCAGAGGATGTGGGGTAGGTAGAATACAATCAAGCTAGGGAGTGATTTAAACAAGAGAGATTTTATTTTCTCCCAGGTAGGTGAACCAAATCTGGCATGTAACTCAGTGGTGTCAGGGACCTGTTCTTAATCATGTGCATTCTGCCATTCTAAAACTAGCCTTGCATACTTGTAATCCCAGTATCTTCGGTGCTGAGGCAGGAAGATCACAGGTTTGAACCCAGCCTGGACAACTTAGCAACTGAGTGAAACCCTGTCTCAAAATAAATTTTTTAAAAACGGCACTGGAGCTGGAGCTCAATGTGAAGGCCCTGGGTTAAATCCTCAGTACAGTAAAAACAAGCACATTTAAAAAAAAAAAAACAAAAAAGTGGGGTTTCTCATTTTGAGATCCAGTTTGGCTCTTTCAGCTCCTGTTCTCCTGTCCATATTCTAGCAGCTGGAAGGGGGAAGATGGGGGCATCTAAAAGATGATCCTTCCCCTTTAAGGACATGACCTAGAACTTGGACTTCTAGCAAGTCACATAAGCCATAATGTGGGCTTAGCACTACACCTACCTCCGGGGATGCTGGGAAGTGTAGTCTTCATCTGGATGGCCATGTACTTACTTGAAAATTGTATTACTACGTAGGTAAGAGAAAATAAGTACTAGAGGACACTGGATATTCTCTGCCATGCTTAGGAAAGATGGACACCTGAGGTTTGGAGCATGCACTCAAGAGCATGAATAAGACACTCTTGAGCTATATCTGGAAACTTCACATGCCCTTCCCAGTTTGTCCTGGTTCTGTAGTGACTTCACTTGTGTTTCAAGCCTTCTAATTGTGGAGACCCATATTCCCAGCAGCATCTAGTGGGGTCTAGTTGGAAGGTGGGTGAAAGGCTAGGATTCATGTAGAACAAATTTACTGAGCAGTCACTTTTTGCTAGGCCCTGTTGTAGGTGCTGGAGATACAGTGATTCACAAGACAATGTCCTGAGCCTGGTGTGGTGGCACACATTTTTAATCCAGCACTTGAGAGGCTGAGGCAGGAAGGAGGGTCACTGTGAGTTCAAGGCCAGCCTGAACTACATAAAGAGACCCTGTCTCAAAAACCCAAAAAGAAAATAAATAAAACAAGGGAACATTTAGTAACTTGGGCCATGAATAGCTTTGCAATCAGAAATTTTTGCTGAAAGGAAAATTCTAAAGAACTGATGACAGAAGCAAGCCACTTTATTCCTGTCTGGAGAAAGAGCTTTTCAAACAGAGGAAACTGTAACTGCAAAGGTCCTGAGGCAGGATTCACTTTACTTGCCAAGGGAATGAAAGACTGCTGAGTGTAGCTGGAGCTTAGAGATCACAGGAAGAATAGGAGATGGAGTCAAAGAAGCGTGCAAGGTGCAGACAAGGCGAGTGCCAAACCAGGGTAGAGTATGGCTTTTCTAAGCAAGGCTATCAGAGGGATTTAGGCTGGAGTAGTAAGAGGGCAAGACACATGATCTGATATACTCTTCCCAAGACCACTATGGCTGCTGTATAGACCCGTGTGGATTACAGGGAGGCCAGAGGGCAAATAGACCAGGAGGAAGCTGTTACTGCCAGCTAAGCGAAATGTGATGGGGTTTGTCTGAGGTTTGAGGGAGAGGAGATGAGAATAAAGTGAGCAGGGTGGAGCCAGTGTGGGCATGGGAGGGTGGGGTCCTTTGACCTCTGAAGTCTCCCAAGGATAGAAAGCTCTGTGAACCCTGGACCACACGTTTTCAGGCAGCAGGGAGGTGACTTTAATTCACTGCTGGCTGAATGGAACTTGGTTTCTCCTTCATTAGTTTTTTGTGATCTTGATAGGCGGCTTCTTCTTAGAATTTTCTTGCCCATTCCTTCCTTCATATATTCATTTATTCAGCAAGTGCTAAGCACTGTGGCAGAACACAAAGGCAGCATGAGCTATAATCATATTTTTCATTTGTATAGAGCTTTTACCCTATGCAGTTATTTCTCCTACATTCTTTCTTCCGCTCTGCCTCTGGGATTTTACAGTATAATTGAGGAGACAGGACCTGTACTTGTGTAACAGTTTAGTTCATAGAAAAAGATTTGGTATATTAGAAAAATGCCAAAAAAGTGAGTAAAGCTCGAGTGTGGTCTGAAGGCTCCGGAACAGAAATAGGACGCTAATGGTGGAGGTAGACTGAGAGGTTGTGCAGGAACCAGTCTGAACAGAGTTGAGAAGTGGCTGTGTTGAATTCCTTTCCTATTTCCTTTTTGTGTGGGCAATGTAGAGAGCCTTGGCTTTGGAGCTGGGTGCACTTGCATTCCGGTCTTGGTGTCCTCAGACAGTAGCACCTGTGTCAGGTCGGGTCTGTGGGTTATAAGACACCTTAAACTCACCCTGGCTAACTAAAGCGAGAATCTGTTGGGATCTCTTGACCTTCCAAGCTTCAGAAAGGACAGGAATCAGTGAAGTTGCAGAGCCCCAGGGGACAACAACTGATAGACAGTATCGCCAGACTGCTGCTGTCAGAATAAACTTACAAGAGCTGTTTTCCCTCCTTGTTCAACCTGAGCAAGAGTCAGATTCCTGAGAGAGAGACACTGGTCGGGAAGAGCACAGGCACTTGATTGACAGCACGGGGGCAGGGTTGTTCCTAAAGGGCAGTGAGTGTGTGGCACCACGAGGAGGGCACGTGATGGGAGGGTAGAGCCCACTGGTATCTATGGCAAACCAGTGAGCTATTTGGAGGATGGAAATAAACTCCATTGTCTAGCACAGAAGAGATATGGAGCCCGTGTGTGTCTAGCTGAGGCTGTGGTCTGTTCACATAGGAAGCTGTTTGTGCCCTGTGCTTTCTTATAGGGACAGAGACCATGAGGAATGGGGACTGTGTGGCAGCTTTTTCTTACTTCCAGAAAGGTGCAGACCGTGGCTACAGTAAGGCACAATACAACCTGGGCTTGTGTCACGAGCATGGCAGAGGCACCCACAGGAACCTCAGCAAGGTACTGGCCCTTCTGCCCTGCTCTGAGGCCCATCCCCTGTGCCAGGCTGCCCAGAGTGAACTCCAGAACTGAGCAATAAGCAGGGACAGGAAAGTCTGGCTTCTCTGACTTGGTTGCAGCCTAGCTAGGAGGTAAAAATAAGAAAGAAGTTCCTAACTTCTAAGAATTTAGACTCAAAACTCAGGGAGGGCAAGTATCTTGCCTTTTTCTTTGCAGCTCTATCCCCAGAGCATGGAACCAGCACCTTGATAAATGGATTAATTCTTTAAAAGTAGGATAAGTACACAGAGATGTTATACACAAGATCCTCGAGTTGTTCATGAAGGTGAAAAGCCAAACAAAAAAAGAATAGGAACTTAGCATTCATTCAGTACAGAACTAGTTAACTACATCTATGTAGACCTTAAGTGATGTGCTGGATCTCCATTTATTGGCAGGGGAAGACATTCATAGTGGCCCCCCCCATGTAACATATTTATGGGAATAAATTTGCAAGCCTGTACACTAAAAATTTAATAGAGCATGAATTTAGGAGACAGGATTTCTTGGGTTTTTATGTTTGTATTTTAAAATTTTGGCTTAATCTGTATTTTTTGACTAAACTATAATGACTGTATTATTTTAAAAATTTTTACTCAGAGAAAAAATGCTTAGAGAGCTACCAGAAGGTTGCGTGTTTCTCTTTTTGCCCTAGGCAATCTTTTATTACCAGTTGGCTGCCAGCCAGGGCCACAGCCTCGCTCAGTACCGCTATGCCAGGTGTCTGCTGCAAGCCCCAGTCTCCTTGGGGGACCCCGAGCAACAGAGAGCAGTGTCCACGCTGAAGCAGGCCGCAGACTCGGGCTTGAGAGAGGTGCGTGCCATCTCGGGGTTGTCGTGGGGGGTCGGTATGCAGAGCTGGAAGGGATCAGGATGCCTTTTTCCTTCCTCTTTGCCTGCAGGCCCAAGCCTTCCTCGGGGTGCTTTTCACCAAGGAGCCACACCTGGATGAGCAGAGAGCAGTGAAGTATCTTTGGCTTGCAGCCAGCAATGGGGTATGTGGTCTGTGGTATCCAGGCATGTGGAAGATCACGTCTGATCAGAGAAGGGATTTAGGGACTGGTACAGAGTTCTGTGCTTAGGCTGTTGTTTGTTAGGAGCCTTAGGCTGGCTTCAAACTTTAATTCCTGATGACTTACTGTGCAACTCTTGGGCAAGTCCAGTGGCCTATCAATGCTTGGACTCAGCTGTGGTAGGAGCATTTGCTCACAAGTATTGTCAAATTCTACATAGCAAGGTTTCTCTCTACCTTGTCGGTTGTTAAACATTTACCATCACACTATTGGACTGGTTACTTCTTATTTTAAATCTGTTTCCTTATCTTTAAAATCAAATAACTGGGGCTGAGGATGTAGCTCAGTAGCAGAACTCTTGCCTAGCATGTGTGAGGCCCTGGATTTGATACCTAGTACCTAGGAAAACAAAAAAGAAACGAAATTGCTCAATAAAATCAACATAAAGGCAGGGCTTTGTGGTACATGCTTGTAATCCCAGCTATTTGGGAGCTGAGGCAAAGGATTATACATTCAAGGTCAGCCTGGGCAATTTAGCAAGACCTTATCTCAAAATAAAAAGCTCTGAGTTGCAGCTCAGTGTCCTGGGTTCATCCTCAGTACCACACACACACCCCAATATAAGAATTCCTGTCTACTACTTCACAGGATTTTTGGAAGGATCAAAATCTAACGGGTAACAGGTGTGAGAGTACTTTATAAGCTGTAGCCACCGTTTGTGAGTGTGTTACTGTAAGGAGTGCTAGTCTAGAGAAGTCAGACACATAAGGTGGGTACACTGACTGTGATTGTGTATGCATGCAGTCTGTGTAACCCAGAGTTAAACATTAAAGGAAACGTGATTAGTTGGATCTGGAAGTACTGAGTTAAACAGCTCTCTTTTTAATTTAATTAATTAATTCAATACATTTATTTTGTTTTTTTTGAGACAGGGTCTCAGTGTCGTTCAGGCTGACCTTGAACTTGCTGGGATTTCCCCTGCCTCAGCCTCCCAAATACTGGAATTATTGGCAAAGCAGCTATCTTCAGTGCAGGGAATCTTAGAGCATTGTATCACTGAGCACCGTCAAGAAGGTGACCTGTGGTTTGCTGAATTCCTCAAGTGTATTAGGCCAGTATCTGGTTTCATTTGTACCTTGAAGGGCCAGGAGTCCTGGATTAGAGCAAGCTGTGCACCTGCTCTGTAATTTCCTGCATAGCAACAGTTGCTGCTCTTTGTGTTCTGTCTTTACTGAACTCTTGGGCATCGAGATTCTATGCTTCATCTACTCTGTTGCTCAGAGTGTCATGACAGCTGTCAGAAGGAGACCAGTGTCGCCAACCAGTACTGATAACTATGTCTGTTCTTCCTTCAAGAGCTCCCCAGAGCCTTCCTCAGGTGGGATGGGCCTGCAGTCCATGTCTGGGCACACCTGGGGGCTGCCTGCCTGCTAGGGTCAGACCAGCACGCTGAGGGAGAGGTGCGCAGAGACACCTGTCACCCATTGTGTGTTGGCACCCACGCCTCACACTCTTCCACCTCCAGGGAATTGTGTCTCCCGGGGCTGTAATGAGCAGCACTGAATTTCGGGATTGTTCTCTCTGCTACCTCTGTCTAACCTGGCTGCATCCTTGTTCCCAGTGCGTTTGTTGCAGAGACTGGCCTGCGTGGCACTGCAGTAGAAACAGAATTGTAGCAGAAAATGGATTGTGGAGGGTAGAAGAGAAGTGGGACCATTACTGGAGTCCACAGAGTGGGTTTGTTTTTTTGGGTTTTTTTTTCAGTTGGGAGATTTCATATGATGAAAATTATTTCAGTAGAGATTAACTAATGGAGATGGTAGTAATAACACTAGATCGTAACACAAAAACCTAGTAAGATAGTGCTATTATTATCAGCACGGTATAGATGAGGAAACTGAGGCATTGAGATGTAGAGTAACATATCTGAGGTTAGCCAGCTAAGTGGCAGAGCCAAGATTAGAACCAGTCTACATAGAGGCTGGACTCCCACACCTGCCTGTTTTCCTCTCAAAGCAGCAAGGACCCAGAGCCCAGGGCCAAAGGCTCAGTCTTTAACGGAGGAGAAACACTTGCACTGTCATTCCTGATTTTCAGCCTCTCCTTCAGTGACTCGGGAAGGCATAGAGGCCTCTGGAAGGTGGACCTTCCTCCACCGTGGCCTCACTGTGTCTCCTGCAATATGAAGACTCCATACTGGGCTGAGTAGTTCTGCAGCCCTCTTCTGGCCCCACGAGAGGAAACACTGCGCTGCTCTGGCTGAGTGGGCGAGCTTTGGGCCTGCGGCATCTTATGGTTGAGATCCCTTGGAATGGGGTGGGCCTTGGCTGGGCCTTCACCTGCATCGATGAAGTCCCTGCATGCCTGGTCACCTTGCTTCTGGCTGTTTCAGTTCCTCATTCCTGTTTGTGCCCGTCTGTTTTCTCCTTTAGGACTCACAGAGCAGATACCATTTGGGAATTTGCTATGAGAAGGGCCTTGGTGTACAGAGGAATCTGGGAGAGGCCATGAGGTGTTACCAGCAGGCAGCAGCTCTGGGAAATGAGCCTGCCCAGGAGAGGCTGCGGACCCTCTTTTCCACTGGGGCAGCAGGTACAGATGCAAGTCCATGCCACGCAGTTCCTCTCCTGAACTCAGTGCTCTGTGAGACACAGTGGGGTGGAAAGCCTGTGGTCTCCTCGTCATTTCTGGCCTCAGTGATATCAGGAGCACAACTTTAGAGTCACATCACCCTGACTCTGCTGTCACTGACCTGGGATTGCATGTCTTTGAACCTCAGTTTCTTCATCTCTGAAAGTCGGTGTTACAATAGCACTGAGCTCATTAGCTTGTTGTAAGGATTAAGTGAGGTGATGATTGTAAGCTTACCTGATACACGGTAGGTACTCCAAGATGGTGCCTGCTCTGCTGACTTCTTAGGAGGGCCAGTGTCCTGAGGCCCTCTGAGTGATCCTTCTGGGGCTCCAAGGTCCACCTACTCACGTGTCTGTTGGGCTAGGCTGGGTTAACAGTATTAGGGGAACCAAGACTTTTGAGAACTTTTTGTTCCAAAATAGAAGTCTGAGAATCCCCTGAGTAAACATTGCTTTCACCTCCCCCCTCTCATAGCCCCCAGGCCCAGCCACCTGGCAGCTACAGGATTGAAATCTTTCTCCAGCCCCTCCCTCTGTAGCCTGAACTCCCTGTTGGCTGGCACCTCAGGCCTCCCTCATGCATCAAGCACTGGGAACCTCGGCCTCCTCTGCAGAAGCCGGCATCTCGGGGTTAGCCTGGGAGCCCCCAGCAGCGCTATACCCACCTTGGAAAGAAGTCTTGTAAGACTGGGTTTTGGCTGAGGTGAGATAAAGCAGTTACTGGGGCCAGAGGGGAGGGGGCAGGAGGCTGGATAACAGTAGTGTCTGTCAGTAACCCTTTCCTGGGTGGAAAGTCTAGCGGGAGCCATTTGAAGTGCATGGTAGTCAAAGACTTTGACCATTTCCTCATTTGGTAGCCTCTCAGATGAGCCTTGGTGCATTCTCAGCTATTTCTAGTCTGTGCACCAAAAGGATTTATTTGGTGGCCTCAGAAAAATTGCAGGAGGGCACAGAGACCCTGTTCTTCGCTTATCCTTTGTCTGTGAGCAAATCGCTTATTTTCTGCATCCCCATGCCTCCGTGTCCTCACCCGAGACCACACTCATTTCCCAGCCCTTGATGGGTGTACCTCTGGAGGTTCGCAAGATTTTAGGTGGTCTGCAAATTAATATTTTTTATTCTAGTGGTTATATATTTACTGTATAATATGAAATATGACTACCATATTCATCTGTTACAGCTAGTTACAAAGCTCACTTATAAAAAAAAATTGAGAATAAACTTAAAGAAAAACAGTGTATAGCTAATGCAGTGTTACATGCCTCTAAACCCGGCTTACTTGGGAGGCTGAGGTGGAAGGATCATAAATTTGAGGCCAGCCTGGGCAACTTAGTGAGAGCCTGTCTCAAATAATTAAAAAAGGCTAGGCGCTAGGTGTGCTGGTACACACCTGTCATCTCAGTGCTGTGGGAGGCTGAGTCAGAAGCACAACTTAGAGACTGAGCAAGAACCCGTCTCAAAATAATAAAACAAATGGGGCTATAGCTCAATGTGAAGGCCCAGGGTTCGATTCTTGGTACCACTGGGGGCGGTGTTAAAAGGCTGAGGATGTAGCTTATTGGTAGAGCACTCGCCAAGCATGTGTGAAGCCCTGGGTTCAAGCTCCAGTAGCAGTGGGGGGAAAAGTAAAAGAAAAAAATTGAAAAACATTGTATAAAGAGAACAGATCCAGGGAGAGCAGATCTAGAGAGGTGGCAGAAGTTGCGGGGGTGGTTCTGTGAGTGCCTGAAACTTGGGAAACTGAAGCGACTTGTCCCCGAGTCTAGCTCCAACGTTCTCATGTGTTTGTCCCGATGGATTCACAATGGTTTTCATTTCACCTGTGGTTTAAGAAGTTTCCTGCCTGAATGCCTGCGTGTATCTGCTTGACTTTTTCAGACCTCGCCTCAGCCCTAATGATGAGCCTTTGGGTTCTCAGCATATCACAACTTGAATCCCAAAGAAGCCAGTTATCCACCCGCTGTGCCAAAAATATTTAGTACCTCCCCACCACCATAAAGAGGAGGGGGTTTCTGCAGATCTGGTTCTGGTCCCACCGCTTGCCTGGCCACATCACCTTGCAGCAGTGACCTGATTCACTAACAGCATTCCTCAGTTGTAGACCAAGGGCGGTGGTGTATGTCCTCCTTTACAAGACTGACACTGGGCATTTCATGGCAGAAAGGACCTCTGTGCTTGCTTAGGCCCCTGGAAGCAGAGTGATGTCGGAGATCTTGTGGCTTCATGAGACTCCAGGCCATCATGAGGACCTAGGACTCCTGCCTCCTGGCCCAGGCTTCTGTTCGACAGCTCCCACTGTCATTTTATGTGAAAGCATCAATATTCTGCCGATATGAGGGAGGAAATGGAGTTTGGGCACCTGGAGTCTTGGAGCCGGTGAGTGTAGATTGTGAGTCCTCATTTGGGAAAGGTGAGCCAGACATCCACGGGCATTTAATAAAACAGATAGTGGATTATCTCGCCACTCTTGCCCTTGAGTGTGTTGATGAGAGCCAGGCAGGCGAGCAGGGGGAGCTGAACGGCAAGGCTCCATCCTCATCTCTACACTCTCCATTGACCAATTTAAAGGGTCTTAAAAGCTTCTCCAGGAGAGAGACTTCGGAAAAAAATGATTTCTGAGTCAGTGCTAATGACTCCAATTACTGAATTTGTGAATAGCTGTTCCCTGGCTTCTGGATGTTAGCCCAAGTTCAATAGCGTAGCTGTGGTTGAGGGGAGAGGAGGGAGCGACAGAGGACCAGCCCCTTGGTGACTGAGTGGAAGCAGCAGCCAGCTTGGCCAGTACAGAGTGGGAGGACTTGGGAGGTTGTTGTCCCCTTCCCTCTGCCCCCAGCTCTGCCTGTCCCAGTGCTGTAAGAGGTGCTTTCTACACTCTCCTAGCACCTTCCTCACACTGGGGCCCAGGGCCTCCCTGCCTTCTTCCCAGGGCTGCCCTGCACACTGTCCTCGCCCTCGCCATGCTCTCATGCAGCCACCAGTGGTGCTCTTTGTACCAGGACCCCGTCTTACTCCAGGATGTCGGCACCTAGTGCAGTGTCCTGTGCACTGCAGGGGCTTGGTGCTGTTTTACGCCACGCAGTGCACTAATCTCTCAGCCAAAGAAAAAAATGTTTTCTGTGGTCAGATAAGTTTGGGAAACACCGTACTAGACATCCTCCTTTTATAGATTCACAGTGCATGTCAACATTTTCCAGACTCCAAGAAGTTCTGCAGTAAGAACATGATTAACCCAGCGTGTTCCTCACTGGTCTGAGACAGAGTCTGTCTTCCTGGGCACACTCAGAAACATCCACTTCCTGTCTAGGTGGTGCCACACTTAGCAGTCGCCTCACCGCCTGGGCATTGTGGGCTCTGATTCCTGCTTCCACACACACTCCAGACCCTGGACCAGAGTCCTGTGCTGATGGCCCTGTGCAATTCCTTCCTGCTTAGCCGCGGCTGGATTGAACATGGCCTCATTCTGGGGAGCCTCAGGTAGAACGGAATATTTCTAAGCAATCCAGGCTAAGGAAGAAGAGCCTCTCCCTGTGGAGAGCGAAGGGTGGAAGTTGAAAAGATGTTCTCAGGGCCAGAACCCCATGGCTGTACAGTCATTGTGGTCTTGATTCAGCCGCAGGGAACTGGCTTGTGGGCAGACCAGGGCACTGCTGTGCTTCTGCCATTAAAATTCTTTTATTAATATCTTGTCATCAGTGCCCTGAGGGGAGATGTGGGAGGAGGACAGGAGGTGGCCCTACATCAGGCTAGCCTAACTCAGGATTCTGGTGGACCTAAGGAACAAGGCCTGGGCCTTTATCCCTGCGACCTTTGAGCCCAGCTCTACTGCCTCAGTTTCCCTATCTGTAGAAGTCCTTTCCAGGGATCCCTGGCACTATGGTAGAAACAAGGCCATTCCATTCATTAGATTTCCGAGCCAGTACAGTGCAGAGCACTTAGCAGATGTTCAGTAAATATTTGTTCAACAAATGAGAGATTATATGCACTGCATCTCCACCCAGTGCCCAGCACCAAGCCTAAGCAGAGCATAGTAAGTGCTTTAAATAATTGTTGAATGAATGACTTGAATACCCCTCCCCTCCAACTGTTCACCCTTGTACTTTGGCACTTAGCAATTGTTCAATAAATAATAAACAAAACATTTGTTGAATGAGTGTTTATGATCATGCCCTGCTATTACATCAATGCCTAATAGGGGCTGGAAAGCCCTGACCTATTTTCTAGGTATACACTGTGTGCCAGGGTGAGCCTATGCTAAGACTCACTCTTCCCCCATCTTGTCTTTTTGGGATTTGGTTCCCTCCACAGTCCCAAGGGTAGTAGCTGCCATCTCATTCTTGTTTCAGCCAAGGAAAGGTGGGGTCAGTGAGCTGCCAACCTGAAGTTGGGTGACAGACAAGGAGGCTGCCTGTCAATCTCCAAGCTGCCCCCAGGCTTGGAGGGAGCTCTGCATTGCACTACTGGTGCTGAAGAACGGCTGACTATTGATAAAAAATGTCCCTCTGTGCTTTCCAAATTAAGACGACATTTAACTGAGTGCTTGCTGGCTCGCCTGCTCTCTCCAGTCTCCCAGGAGACAGAGCCCGTCTTGGTGGAAACTGTTTTGAGCATGTCCAAAGTCTCAGCTTTGACATCTTGGCTGATGTCAAGAAGTTTCTGTAACCTTCCTGTGCAGCACACCCAGTTCTGTCACCATATGTACGGTCTTGTTCTCAGCCTGTTACTGGGGAAAGTGCTGGTGTCAGCATGCTAGGTGGGGGTGCGTGGTGCAGGAGAGGGCACTGGTCCTCACGGCACAACCCCAGCCCTGACTGAAGGTCATTTGCCTCAGACCAGGGCAGCTCTGTGCAGTTCTCCGGGTTCCATGGGGAAAGGAGGGCTGAGAGTTAACTCAGGTCTGAGGTGACCCTAAATGTTACTGTGACACTGACCTTGTGTGACTACAACTCCTATCTGTGGAGGTTTAGATGGTGTCTTGCAGCAGTGCTAATAATCTTTTGCAGGTCACACGTTCCCTTGGTAATCTGATGAGAACTTTGTACCCTCTGCAGAGGGTACTTGGCATGCAGGAAGTTCGAGGACCGTGGTTTTAGCACTTGAAGGAGAGTGACAGTGGTCCAGCGTATCCATCGACCCAGCTGCAGCCACAGTCCCAGCGTCCTCTACCTCCCATTTCTTCTCTACTCTACGCTCTCAACATCAGCTCTGTATCGCAAATCCACTAAAGGCGGAAGGGCAGTGGTCAGCATGGTCCACTTTGGTAAGGTAGTTTTCAGGCTTTGCTTTTACATAATGGGACCATTTTCCCCCAATGTAATCCTACCTGGAGCTTCATACGGTTACAGGGGACTCTGACACCTTTGTCTACACATTTATTCATTCACACATCTATTCAACAGATACTCATCAAGTTCCTTTCTGTGCGAGGCATCTGCCTGGTCAGGCTGGAGACCCCATCTGCTTGGTTTCCCTTACCCTTCTTCAGTGAACTGCAGAACCTAGTTTTGTGAACCAGTTTAAAAATCACACTGTCAGAGTGAGGTGATCAGAGATCCTAAAGTGCTTAACTTTGTGGGGGGCTGGTTTTTCTCATCTGCAAATGGAATAATGATACCATTCTACACCTCAAATACATGACTTTCTTTATTCGTAGTTGGGGGGGATATGTTTGATGAGCACTGAGCTCCATGCCTGGCAGAGAGAGCAGAGGAACTTCTGTCCTGGGTGTCCAGGAGAGCTCCCCGCAATTTATAAGCTATTGCTGCTTGGAAACTTCCAGGAAAATCCCAAGGCTGAACCTTGGGAAAATATTTGCTGATTTTTACTCCCCATTCCCTGGAAGGTTGGCTGCTGTCAGTGTTGATTTCATAGACCCAGTTCATGTACTGTCCTCTGGGTCCTGGATTCACAGGGCCCAGCCTGCTATGACAGAGGGAGATTTACATGTGAACAGGGTTTGGGAATGATGACTTCTGCACCAAAAGGACAACTTTGGGGAAGGCGAGGTCCTGCAGCAGATCAGATCCAGGTCCTCTAACCTTGTGCTTTACAAATGCAGAGTTGTATGACCATGAATGGCTTTGGAGAAGTTCAGCAGCATTTCTGAGGGGAGCTCAGCATGTCCACTGCTGTTTCCCTGGCAAAAGCTCATCCATGGGGTTTTTTCCATTCCTCGGCTGGCAGTCTAGTGCTGAGGCTGAGGCTGTGGGTTTTGGTGTCGGTCCAGTCTGGTTCCAGATCCTGGCTCTGCATCTATCCCTTTTACAGTCTTTTCTAAGAATGTTTTGTTTTGTTTTAGGTACTGAGGATCGAACTTGAGTTCTTGCATTTGCGAGGCAGGTGGCAGAACCACTGAGCTAAATCCCAGGCCCTCCCTTATTCAATCTTGTGAATGGCACTCAACTTTCCCAAGCTTTACAGGCCTGTCTGTGAAGTGAGGGTAAGAGTACCCCCCTCCTAGGATGGTGGGAAAATCCAATCCTATTGTAAAGCCTGGTGCTTGGCTCATATAGATATAGAACATTTATATGATTTTTTTTCAATCCTGGTTTTCCAGCTGAGAAGCAGATTACTCGTAACATAGGGGCGTGGGGTTGAGAGCACACATGTCTACCACCCGCATGCACATCGCTGCACTGACCTACGCCACTCCTGTCAAGCTCAGCATGATTTTCTTGCCAGGGATGGAATAACAACTCTCATTCTATTATAATTCCCTTCTTGACAGTTGCAAACAGAAGAATGAGAGGCTGCTTTTCCCTTATCTGTAGGACAGAGTGCACTGCCTGTTGTCCCCAGAATCTAGCCCTCCGCCTTCAGGATCCAACAAAGCCACCTTCCCTGCTTGCGATCCTCTGAGGCATCTGTTTGCCCTGAGGATCGGCTCTTTGCGCTGTGTTTTCCCAGCAAACACCTCTGCAACACTGTCCCTGTTTTCTAAAAAATTCCCAGAGTCCCTTTCAAGGGGCTGTTCTGCTCAGTCAGCTGGTAGCACAGGGGTCCTGCCTCCTCTGTTGGCCAGAAATAGTCACACTGGGGCCAGCTCTGGTCGATGAGCTTTAAGATTTTAGAAAACAGCTCATATACCTCTGACCCTCGGGGCCTGGGCTCTCTGGCATGTCCCAGGAGCCTCCTTCTTGCATCCAGAGGCCTCTGGCTGTGCTCACAGGTACCTGTTGCTGTCACTTCCACTGTTGTCCTCAGCTCCCTTCTTTCCGTCCAGGCTCCCCTGCACCTTGGTCCCTGAGGCCGCACTGGTGGCCAGGTCCAGACTTAGGGTCCTGCCACAGACCGAGAGCCGCCGCAGCGCCTCAGAGGCAGCCTCCACAGGCACCCCGGAGCGCTGCTCCAGCAGCATCTCCAGCAGCGAGCTCATCTCTGAGAGGAAGGTGCTAGCCAGCCGCGTGCCTGTTGGGCTCAGCTCAGGTGCTGCTGTTGCCTTGCCAAAGGTCTGGAAGGTCCTTGGCTCCTCCAAGACTGCAGCATCTGGAGACATCACGTTATCTCGGTAATTGGTGGTGAGTGGCAGAGACAGCCTCGCCATCCAGGCTGGGTCGGGGGCACTGAGCCGGTCCAGAGCCAGGACTGCAGGGACAGAGGAACGCAGTGAGGGCCTGGCCTGAGGAAGACGCCAGGCGGGTAGGGTGGGGCTGTGGGTAGGCCAAGGGAAGGGAAATGGCAGAAGACAGAGGGGGCGGCGAGACAGGGACAGGAAGAGGCCCTGACAGGGAAGCTTGCTGGCAGGAAGGCTGCTGACAAAGTGACAAAGCACCAAAGTGCCTGGTTGGGGCCTCATAGGAGGTGGTGGCAGAAGGAAGACACTGCATTAAGGAATTATTCAGTGTGTCTGAAGAGCTTCCCTGCCCACAGTGTGTTTCAGGTCTAGGCATCTTCCTCTCACTTGAGTACGGTCAGGAGGTTCATGCCTTGGAGAAACTTCTCCTTTTGTGGTACCCGATGAAGAATGGGGGTGTGTAACCCCTTCCTTAGTCAAAGCTGGAGTTCCTGGCTTGGCACTGCCTTCTGCTCACGTCCACCACAACAGTGACCACTGATTAGGTACTTGTGTGTCTCATTTAAGGTCTGCACAGGGCTTGGAGGTCAAGAGTATTATCTCCGTTTTACGGATGAGGAAACTGAATCTGAAAGCAGTTAAGTCATGTATCTAGTAGGCAAGCAAACCCGATTTGCCCCCAGATCTGTTAACTGTGTGGGATTTGAGCCCAGACACGCTAACCTGAAGCCACTGAGACTGGACCTTCCTGCTCACTCTCTGAAGAACCAGCCCTTCTTTCCCCTGGATCTTCCAGGCCTGCTAGGGGCTGCGTCAACTGGCCGCCCACATCCTCAATTCCTCCTCACCCTTCACCTCTCAAGCAGCAGGAAACCCTAGCCTAGAGTCAGACTGGGAAGGGGCTGCCCGCCTGGGGCCTACCCCGGGAAAAGGACTCTGGCAGTAGCAGTGGCAAAGCAGTTTGGTGTCTAGGAATTTAAAAAATTGTCCCCTAATTCCCAATGCCACCTTCACACTTCTTTTCCCATTTCGTCAACAGAAAATCCTGCCTCAGAAAACTGATTCCAGATCGGATATCAGAGGTGGAGCCAGAGGAAAGAAAGGAAAGTATAAGTTTTACAGTTAAGAAACACTATCTTTAGGGAAAAAGAGGCCACATGTCTAATTTAATGTGTATTTAATGTTTGCTTCAGGTGAGCAGCTTTAAAATCTGTACAAGATTAAAAGACTGAAAGGAGGCCAGGCATGGCAGCACACACCTATAATCTCATCACTCTAGAAGGCTGAGACAGGAACAACAAAAGTTTAAACCCAGGGCCGGGGATTTAGCTCAGTGGTTCTGCCGCCTGCCTCACAAGCACAGGTCCCGAGTTTGATCCAGAGTACAAAAAAAAAAAAAAAAAGTTTAAGC